AGCTCTAAAATATTTTATTTAAATTATTCTTTAAATTTTTTACATACAAAATATTTTTAAAAATGACTAGAATCATATATTTTTATAATGCATAATGCATAAATGTCCAAGGTTTTTCCAGGTCTAGATATCACACTTTTAAAATGACACTTCCTTATTTATCCTAGACTGTGAAAATCCTGGTTCTTCTTGTTAAGGGGTTGAATTAAAATAAGATGCATCTTCATTTTTAAGCCTGAAACACACTGCGTGATTTTCGGCTGTCCCAGACTAAAGATTGGCATCGTAAAACACTCGTGGTGATTTCTGTGATCGTGGCTCCTAATCTGTGCTCGTATATCGTACAGTGAGAGAGGGTCAGAGACGGCCGTTGTCACAGTCTTGCGACCAAAAGATAGCCTACGATCATTTTCTGACTGTGTCAGAAATACAGCATGATCATCGCACGGTGTGTTTGCTGCTACGATCCACGTTTGCTGACCAACCAATAAAAACACGACGCTAAAACATAAAACTGCTTACCTCGAGCTCTCATGCCTTCCTCTTTCGCCGCTTCCCCTTTTATTCAGCACAAATGAAAACTACAACTGCTAAAGTGTGATTTATCATGCTCTTATTGTTTACCACTAGCGCATGCTGATGACGTTTTATTCTTCTATAGTAACGTGCATCGTAGCGTACGATTCAATAGGTGTCATCGTCGTACAATCTACACGCATGTCGTAGCCACGTTTATTAGATCCATGTGTCACAGTGTGACATGCAATGATCTTATAGGATTGCTAAAATTGTGCAGTGTCTCGGGCTTTGAGTCATTTTAAGCCATCTTGATTCCCTTTTGAAAGTTTTCCTGCATTTTCAATAAACAAGGCCTTTAATGGGTTAGCTCCTGCGTACCTAACTAGTCTTCTACCACGCTACAATCCATCACGCTCCCTAAGGTCGCAAAACTCTGGACTTTTGGTAGTACCTAGGATAGCAAAGTCCTCTAAAGGAGGTAGAGCTTTTTCACATTTGGCTCCCAAACTCTGGAATAGCCTTCCTGATAACGTTCGGGGTTCAGACACACTCTCTCTGTTTAAATCTAGATTAAAGACACATCTCTTTGGCCAAGCATTCACATAAAGTGTCTAATAACCTTGGTCTTCAGTCATATCTGATCAAATGCACATTAACAGTCTTTTGCTTGTGTTGAACACATCATTTTTTGCTTGGCATCCCGAGGTATCTAGGAAGTACACGTCATTAACTAACTGCATGATTCTTACTGTACAGTTCTGCCATATGGATATCAACACTGATAAGCTACTACTAAACAATGTAAAAACTTAAAGTTTCTGTGAAGCTGCTTTGCAACGATTTGCATCGTGAAGAGCGCTATACAAATAAACTTGAGTTGCAAAGTGTTGTGAACCACAGTTCTAAATGAAGCTTTAGTCCTGATAAAAGCCGTATTTCTGTGACTTGTTAAAGCGCGCAGGAGACCGTACCTGTAGATACTGCGGTGAAGGTGGTGCATAAACGCAGCTGTTCATGATATACGTGCGACAGCTGAGGTCCTGTCTGCTGGTGGCGACGTTCACCTCCACTGGGCTGTAGGTGCCCATTTTCACGTTCTCCTGCCTGCAGAGGAACATCCAGCGCTTGTGAGGAGCTCCATTAGTCACTTACTAGTGCTGCGTTTCTACATGAAGATCTCCGACTAAAAAATGCTGGGTTGTTTCAACCCAACTTTAGGTCAAATATGGACTAACCCAGCTGTTGGGTTAAATCTTTACACTAACCCCTTAAGTGTGTCACCCCTCATTTTTGAACATACGTGAACGTGCACTATCCAAACTTAAATTGTCATAATTCATGAACGCTTTGGAATACAGACCTAAGGTTGGACTCTTTTTTAGATTACTGCAAAAGTGGAATCATTTTAAAATATTAAAGTATCAAAAAGTTATAGAAGTTTAAATTTACTGTAAAGAAAATGCACTATACTAAAAAAAATTGGTTATATAAAATAAAATATTTTTGAATCCAAAATTGCTATAAAATTAAAGCCTTTTGTCTAAAGTTATGTTCCAAATTTGAAGTTGATATAAAAAAAAACACAATTTGAGGTTCCTGTGAGATTTTATTTAGAGCGTTATATCACAAGTGCCATCAAAACTTCATTGAATTTTTTTTGATGCATTTTTCTGCCACAAATGTCTAAATTTCTCGGTCATTGTTACTTCTATCAAAAATCTTGAGACTCAGACCTTTCCGACAATATGTATTTTATCAAGTTTATAAACAACTGTGATTCTAAAAGACCGTAATACTTTTTGTAATATGACACTTGCCTCCCTCCACTAAGGGGAAGAGACCACTAAAAGATTTTAAAGTACCATTTCGACGGTAATGCAATTTCCGACTTAAAAATGGTTTTCACAGGATGAATTCTGAGGTTTTAAGCTTGAATGACTAAAATATGTGATGGAGAACAAAGACAACAAAATAAAAGAGTGCCATTGGGCCTGCCGGTGATACATTTTTAACCCAAAAGTTGGGTTAGTCCATATTTGACCCAAAGTTGGGTTGAAACAACCCAGCATTTTTTAGTGTACTGTATGTGTGTGTTTGGGGTCTGAAAGCATCCACCTGTCGAGGGACTCGAGGTCCGACATGTTCATCCTCCACACAACGCCCCAAACCTCGTCCCCTGGGCTGTGTTCGATGGTCCCGACACCGCCGTGCCAGCGCTGACTCGCCAGTCCTTTATGATTCCCGAAGGCCAGTTTATAATCCTGGAGAGGAGGACCAGTCAGTTACATGTGTAGACAGATACAGTCAAACCAAAATTTATTCAGACACCTTCAACATTTCTCACATTATCACAGTTTAGATCACAGACGTATAGATAAGCAGTCGGCTGGGCGGATGGATAGATAAACAGTCGGCTGGGCGGACGGATAGATAAACAGTCTGATGGGCGGACGGATAGATAAACAGTCAGCTGGGCGGACGGATAGATAAACAGTCTGATGGGCGGACGGATAGATAAACAGTCTGATGGGCGGACGGATAGATAAACAGTCTGATGGGCGGACGGATAGATAAACAGTCTGATGGGCGGACGGATAGATAAACAGTCTGATGGGCGGACGGATAGATAAACAGTCTGATGGGCGGACGGATAGATAAACAGTCTGATGGGCGGACGGATAGATAAACAGTCTGATGGGCGGACGGATAGATAAACAGTCTGATGGGCGGACGGATAGATAAACAGTCTGATGGGCGGACGGATAGATAAACAGTCGGATGGATGAATGGATATAAATGGATGGATGGATAAATGAATAAAAATATGAATGATATAGTTAAACACTCAGATAGATAGATAGATAGATAGATGATAGGTGTTCAGATAGATAGATACCTTGAGTTTGGCCACGCAGTAGACGGTGGCTGATGGGTTCTTCAGCTGCAGCCGCTCCTTCAGAAGGTTGCTGCCGTAAGCGAAGTACAGAAAGGTGGAACCGTTCTGCCGGTCGCTGCTGTTGTCCATCACTGACTCTTCAGAGGACAGAGGGACTAGGAGGATGAGGACGAGGAAGAGGAGGAAATGGAAGAGGGACATTTTTGCGTTGAATCAGCTCAGCAGGGCTCAGAGCGAATGAAATGGAAAACACCTCTGTTAATGGAGCTCCATTCTCATGCAAATCCATTGTGTGCCAAAGCCTGCATTCATCTGACACTAACCACCATCAGCAAGAACTTTCCCAACCGTCCCTCTAGTGGAAGCAGCAGAAATTACCTTTAAGCAGTCAAAAATCACCCCTAAAATTAGCCTAAATAATGCAATTTACATAGGTTTCCAATATATTAAGACATTAATAATTTCTTCTCTACAATCTGAATTTCTGCGCTTTGAATATTGAATTTGATGTTCTGAATTTCTTCTTCATCTTGAGAACTTGAGGCTGTTTTTTTTTAAACGGGATATTTGCAGTCTAAGAATTCAGAACAAAAAAAATCAGTTGTTTGAAAACCTATAAAACTGCCATAAAAAAATTATTGTTTTAAAATTTCAACTGCTAAATATTCAAGTTTATAAAAAATCTAATTCAGAAATTTGTTAAATGCCACATAGCATTCAGTTTTGTTAAATGACACTTGTCAATAATTAAAGTTTACACAATTCAAATTCAAATGGTTTTGTCAAATTTTGAGCTACATATAATGGTGTTGTGAAATGCTTTTGAATAACAGAAATTGACCTGGTGCCAGTTGCACAAACAAACACTATAGCCCCGTTTCCACCGCAGGAACTTTCCCCAGGAATTTAACTAGGGACTTTAGGCCGGTACTAATGGCGCTTTTCCACTGCATGGTACGGTACGGCTCGGTACGGTTCACTTTTGGGGGGTTTTCCACTGGGTACAGTACCTGGTACTTTTTAGTACCACCTCGGTTGGGGTTCCAAGTGAACCGTACGTTACCAAAACGTGACGTGTAAACTCTGCTTATCGCGGATGGGCCGGAGAGAATCGTCACTACCTGCGTCACTGAACTTGCGACACAAACACAAAAGAACCGCTAGATTTAAATCAGCACAGCCAGCGAAGGATCGAACGCAACCATTTTGAACGAGTGCACTTTTTTTAACAACCAAAAAGTTTTGTTCCTCTCGTTGATAGCAGAGGAGCGGATCCAGCGAGAGCTTGATGGTGCGTTGCGGAATGAAAAAGTTTTTTTTAGGAGTCGTGGTAGTAGAGGCCCACTCTAAAGCGGTGCTGAACTGCAGTGGAAACGCGAACCGTGCCGTGCCGTACTGAGCCGTACCGAGCCGAGTCGTACCACGCTGTGGAAAAGCGCCATAAGTCCCTGCTCGTGAGGTAGTACTTTTCCGGAACTTTTGGGGGTGGAACTTGGGCGCTGAACATGCTGATTGGTTGAGTTCACTCAGCATTGTGTTTCAACCATAGACTGTAAAAAAGATGGACGACGCGTTTCCTATTCCTTCCACTATAGTAAAGTGAAGCCAAAGCATCTCAGTATGGCGCCATCTTGAATAAATGGTGCCATTTGGAGTCAGAGTCTGCGCAGTAGAGATTCGTTTGGAGCCAGAGTCTGCGCAGTAGTGTCGTGAAGTGGAGCCGCGGTATCAAACTCCCGCCCAAACTCCCGCAGACCCAATCAACCATAACAACACACCCCGTTTATATAGCATCAAATTACTAGCTAAAATCAAACATACATATCAGCGTGATAACAACTACCTTAAATGACCAAAACCATCTTTCGGAAAATTGTATTGGAAGTAGGGCTGGGTATCGTTCAAAGATTTTTGATACCGATACCTTGACTTCGATACCGGTTCCTGAACGATACTTTTTTCGATACCAATTTTATGAAATCTATTTGAACAAGATTATATTATCTAAAAAAAAATACTTTGGGTTTATTTTTCAGCTTGTTGATGTTTATACAGACTCAAAGCCACTGCACAAAGGAACAAAATGTAACAAACAAAAAATCTGTTCAAATAGTTTTAATAAAGCTCAAATAGTCTTCAGTTTACACATCTGTTAGCTACATTT